TCGCCCAAAGTTTTCTTTGATTAGATCTGAAGATGAATAACTTTGTTGGTTTAGATCTCTGTGATTTTGGGGTTTGTGGTCGTGATGGACTGATCTAGGGTAGGAATCGGACGATACAACTCTACAAGTTCAGTGTCGCTTGTTTTGGTTTTAAGGCAATTGGAGAAATCTGGTTGTTTCCTTTGAATTTCATTTCAGTTTAGGGTTTCGTTTACCATTTGTTGAACAATACGAATTCCATTGATTTCCCCCTGTATTGGAATTTATTTTGTCGCTTCTCTGGATTAATACGATTTCTACTGTTGAACTGTAGATTTTGCAGTTTAGATGTGCTTTGATTATGTTGATGGAAGCAGTTCTTCTATAATTGCCTGTTTCGTTTTGAGTTCCATGATCCTTCGTCAATCTGTCAAATTGATATTGTGTTAAATTTGCTTGTGAAAGTTATCTGCCTCGTCCTTTTGATATGAACTGGTATCTGTTCATGGTTTCGTTGCAAGTTACCAGAGATGTTTTTACAAGTCTACTTTAGTTTCTTTTGTGAGCTATATTGAAACGCTATTTTCACAAACATTGGGGTGTAGAGTCTACTCTACTAGTACGTGTGTGTGTACTGAAGAGAGTTGCATCTTAATGTTCATTTTTTGTCGGTATCAGGCTAATGCAGCATCCGGAATGGCAGTCCATGATGACTGTAAGCTAAAGTTTCTGGAACTGAAGGCGAAAAGGACATACCGTTTCATTGTTTACAAGATCGAGGATAAACAAGTGATTGTGGAGAAAGTCGGTGAACCTGGTCAATCCCATGATGACTTTGCAGCAAGTCTTCCAGCTGATGAATGCCGATACGCCATTTTCGACTTTGATTTTGTCACTGCAGAGAATTGCCAAAAGAGCAAGATTTTCTTCATCGCATGGTAAGTAACTAACGATTACCTCTGTTGAAACCGGTCTATCTCTCTTCACATTCTTTTCTAAAACAATCACTTCGTTGTTTTGGCCAAGGTCTCCGGACACAGCAAGAGTGAGAAGCAAGATGATCTATGCGAGCTCCAAGGACAGGTTCAAGAGAGAACTAGACGGAATTCAAGTAGAGCTGCAGGCAACTGATCCAACCGAGATGGATCTTGATGTTTTCAAAAGCCGAGCCAATTGAGGAAGAAACCCCCCTTAAAATTTCGGTTGAATTGAACTTCTTCCTACTATTACTGAGTGATATGCGTTTTTCTTAAAGTTTGCTGAGACGGTACCAACCAAAACAGGTCATTTATCGGTCTTTGGTCTCTGTCTTCGATGTCTTTTTTGGGTCCTTGCAGTGTTTTGTCTCTGAAACTTAAAAGAAATCTGGCTTGTGCTCTTTTACCATTGTGTAAGAAACCCAAACCCTTTATCAAAGATGAATCCTATTAGCACATTTTCTTGTATTCTCATCATCTTCACACATTACTTATGAAACTAGTCACCCAAGGATTCAGGTAATTTAGAAAATTCAACTTATATCATAAGATTTGTGCAAGTTTTCTTGTATGCACTTAAGATCTATAAGATTTTATGCATTTTCCTTCTCAGGAATCTATTGATTTGAATTCGTTTTCACATCGTACACGATGACTATTCACAACGTTCAGAATTGATAAAGTTTTATTTAAACATACCATTACAGGTTTGAATGATGGTCCAACAAAATAAAGTGACCTCAAACTTTAATCCTAATTGACACTTTTGATTCGTTGGAAACAGATCCAACCATTTGGCAGTTGTCCATTGCACTTTTTACGCAAGCTTTCCAACCGTCGAATCATGGAGACTTTGTTAGAGCTTATTGAATTGAGTAAAATATAAATTGTCAGAACT